TCTGCATTGGCTTTAAGATCATACTAAATGTTTTGCTGTTTCTTGTATGTGTATGTGATGTTTCTCATGCCCTACAGCAACCTGAAAAACTTCGAGTCACTCACAAATCTTGTGTATTTGTGCAAGTGTGCCTACATGTATCCACAGTATGTGTGCTTGTGTTTTAAGTCTGTAAATATAAGTGTGTGTGTGTGTGTGTGTGTGTGTGTGTGGTATCTATATATTCTTGAGATCTGGCAGTGATCAGTACACAGCATACATGGTCACAGCAGTCCTGAGTGCATGCTGGGTAAAATCATAAGCACAACCCCTTCTGTCTCATTTTGACCGTTCTCGATCTCCACCCTGTCCTGCCTATTGCTTCCATCACCCAGGATCCAGATCAGCCAATCCCATCAGTGGTAAGGCCTCAGCTTCATCCAGTCACAAGCCAGACGTTTCATCCCCAAGCACCTCCCCCCTAGCGCACAGAGATTTGCATGCTGTCCCTTTCTTTTAGCCTTTTCCTTTTTGTTCACCACTACAGTAGCAGCATGCTTAGCTCATGTGTCGTTTATTTTTTACTTTTCCCCCACAGTTGAGAAGCCGTATGGAGTTGACACGTTTGCCGTCAAACATTTTGTTGTCTTTGTGGCCTTTGTTTTTCACTGTTGAAGCGTTGTATGTTCCCACTGGTGACTGGTGCCACAGTTAATGTCTCCCCACAGCACAGTTAGTTAGAACACAGTTCTAGCCCACCTCATCCTGGTGTGTCTAGACTGTAGCATCTGTATTTGTTCATTCAGACTTTAATTTTTGTGAAGTTTCTGTTTGCCTCCACTGTTGTGTTGTCACTAAAATAGCATTCATTCATTCAAATATAACTTAATCTGTTAAATACCTGACTAGGTTTATACTCCACGCTGAGATATACAAGTAGGAGAAGACATTATAATGTGTCAGATTAACTTTGCTGTTGCTGCACTGTCCCAACAGCATTGGGTCTGTTGATACAGGACATGTTATTAAAGGTTGTACCCCTCCCTTAGCCTTTTCCCAGCCGGTGTCTCAGCCACTGTCAGTATAGTCTAGCCATGCTGCATATTTTAGTGTTTGTTTTATGTACTCTGTCCCAACAGCCGGCAGTCGCTCCAGCTCCCCAGGCAAGCTGCTGGGGCACGGCAGCTACGGCCGGATCCCTCGAGCCACGGTGTCGGCCTCCTCCACGCCGGCAGACAAGCGCAGCAAGATCCCGCGCAGCCAGGGCTGCAGCCGTGAGACCAGCCCCAGCCGGCTGGGCCTCGGTAAGGCCAGGAGCCCGGCACACACTATTTTAGCACAAGTCCGTCCCTTTCTTTAGTAAGCTACTGACTACAGGACTGCTGTCTATGTGGTATAAGTCTGAAACAGTGAATTAATGTAAATTACTGATTTGCTTTTGTGTGGTGAAGGAAAAACAGGAAAATGAAACGCTATATATCACAGTGTTCTTTTCAAATCCACGCCATTAAAATAGCAGCATTGTGAAAAGACTCAGCCATGAGCGCAGCACTGACACGTGCACATCACTGACCACACAGTTGTGCTCGTCACCATAAAGCACATCGGCACATGTACTCATAAGTAACATAACACATGACACAGGCTTATGTAAACAAGTAGACCTGCACTTTCTTATCTGAACTTCCTGATAAAGAGAGAAACTCAGGTTTCTGTTTCGTCCTTTGAAACTGCAGCATTCTCATTTCCTGTACTCAGCACAGATAGTGTTGCTGTGGATCACAAAGCATTGTTGCCTTATTGTGTGCGTGGACAGTGCAGATGACAAAGACGATAGTGTCTCTACCTATGATGGTATTCACTTCCACTAGTTCTCTTGTCATCATGGTGATAGTTTTTGTCTTCAACTAAACATTCCTCACAGATCTATCCTAATGTGTGATTGGTTGACGGGAGCGGATGGTAGGGTATGAAAAGGCATGAAAAATCTATGCCCCGACAGTAAGATATGTTTTTTTTTTTCTTTTGAAACAGAGGGTGAAATCCTGTCAAGTAGAAAAAGAAATGTTCTGGTTTGGCAGTCATACCCATTAGGGTCAAACAGAGTGGCTGGCTAACGCCGCACAGAAACCTAATAACATATGACTAGTTACTCTGTACACCCCAGCAGTTGATGGGTAGGTGCCAGGCAGAGTCATACCTTTGATAGTTTGATTAAACATCCTTTTTACTTTTTATTTGTCAGGGTTGGATTGATGGTCGTCTTTAATGGACTAAAAATCTTTTGAAAAAAATGTTCATGCGCCATTGAAAAATTGTTTCAGTAAGAGGATGTTGAATGTTTCTGATTCAGTGCAGATCCTTCAGTTTTGTTCAACCTATCTTTGCAAAAAGAAAGTTTTTAGTAGTGTCTAGCACCGGGTGCGCTAGTGTTTTGATGAGGGGACGATACTAGAGCCCGACCAACATGGGATTTTTAAGTCCGATACCGATTTTGATATTTGGATTTTAAAATCCGATATATCGGACAATATTCTTTTCCCCCTTTATTTTAAGAAATGCATAACATAAACTAAGATTATCCCTAACATTTGTTATGTTGAGACCATACCCAGATACCGTGACATAATGCAGTACAAAAAGAAACCTTGTTATTATTATAAATAGTACTAAGTGCAGCAAAATATAAGAGTCAATGTATAAAACTACAGAAAACATTTTATACTGATATATATCTGAATATATTAGTACTACTACTAATGAACATTAAATTAAATAGTGTATGTATTGTGGGGCCTGCAAAACAGAATCTATAAAAATAACATCTATCTATCTATCTATCTATCTATCTATGACTCTCTGTTTCTCTTTTAATAGTCATATATCAGCTGTTTATAAACGTTGATGCAGATATATCTGCAAGTAGCTATATCGGCCGTTAAATCCGCGAAACGATAAATCAGGGCTCTAGGATGCTGTTCATGGTTACTGCTTTTACCACAACTTGATGTGTTACTTTCCTAATATTTAAATCACAAACCCTATTGTGTGTATATATATTTTTTATTTAATTTTTTTCATGTATGTGGATGTTGTCACACGTTAACAGCTCGAGTTGCTCTTTAGAGTGTGCAAACTGTCTAACCTTTACTAGCAGTTTGCTGTTTGACCACTGACTCACCCAGCGTTCTGCCGCTGCTTCTACTGTGACTGTTTCTTTTCTTCTCTCCACTTTCATTTCTTCTTTATCTTCTTTTTATTCTCCAGTCTATCTTGCTCTCCCTTTTAGAGCTGGGAACATTAACATGTTGTTGTTGTTATTATTGCGTTAAAGCATTAATTAATTTATCGCAGACAAATTATTTTATCGCACGTTAACACAGTTTTTATTATTATTATTATTATTATTATAATTATTATTTTGAAAGTCCGTTGCTCACTGGCTCTGAGTACACTTCAGTCAAACCATGGGTCACAGGAGGGGCGGGATGTTGATCAGCCTACAAATCCCCCAACCAAACAAGCAGCGGAGGCTTCAGCAACTACGCTGGATGCAGCGTGTGGGAGAAGTAGATAAACAAAAGCTAGACACGCGATCAAATGCCACAGCGAAGTGGATAGCTGCATACTGCTGATTAGTACTGGGGAAGATATCGGTCTTAGGAAAGTTCTTAAAATACACAACGTAGTCGCTTGGCCCCGTGGGGTTGCTCTTTGCTCTTTGATCAGGAGACAATGTTGATATCCTATTTAGTAAACAGTAATAGATTCTGGAAACTCACAAACAGTGAGGATCAGTCTCTCTTCCAATGATTTGTGCTGCGCGTCACATACAAAATGTTAAAGACAATTCAAGTTCGGCGGTGGGTGGGCGTGTGCGTGAGGCGACCACTTCAGCTCACTCTAACAGAGGACACTTGCTGAACATAGATTGTTTATGCTGCAAACCTTTGTTGGGTGTAATAATATTGTATCCTGGAGGCACAGTCTGCAGGTCTTTATACTTTTGGTTTTCTTCTCTCATAACCTCTACCCTTCTTCTTGTCCTCATTTCTGACTCACCACACTCCCCATGAACGAACACTGACATTCCCACCTAACTTGTTGTCCTGACAGCCAGCCTGTGTGTGGTAAAGCTCTTCTTCCTGCTACTCTTCCCTACCGCACGCTAGCCCGGAGCCGCATTCCCCGACCCAGCATGAGTCAGGGTTGCAGTCGCGACACCAGTCGCGAGAGCAGCCGCGACACCAGCCCTGCTCGGGGCTTGCTCCTCTGGGTGAGTACCGTGAGCTAATAGATGTCTGGCTTCTTCTCCCAGTGAGTGTCCCTGTCTTTGCGGCTGTAGTGTCGTATGGCCATTCTACCGCCTGTCTTTGACTGTGCATGCACTAACGGTATCTTTCAGGTGTTAGGGAAGATTACTGTTCCGTGGGGGGTGCAACATATTACTACTGTTATTTATTGTTTTGTTCTTTGATGAAGAATCTTCAAATGTATCTTCTTTATTTTGGACTGTTTTAAGTTTGGTTCATGCGTTTAAATAGTTCTGAATAGTTTCTGTGTTCAAATGTTATACCATCAATAAAGATTGTGGAAGACGTACTGTACTGTAATGGAGGAAGTAGACGCAACAGAAACAACAAGCAATCATTACAGTCAGTATTCATAGCTGATGGTACCCTGCAGCCAGCTGCTGAAGCTCTTATACTGTTACATTCTGGGAAGTGATGTCTTAATTCTGGAGCCGTTGCTTTGTCATCAAGGAATCTAGAAAACAGGAGTTTTGAAGTATGTCACCACTCAGCATTTCACTGCTTTAGTGCTTATTTAGCTTAGCATGGGTCAACTGCTTCTTTGTTGTTGTTTCTGTAGACCAGATCAGTCTAAGAGATGGAGCTGTTGGTCATTTTTAAACTCTCCAGACTTGAAACTGAAGATTGCTTCTATACGTTCTGTTTAAGTAAGCCTTATTTACAGCAGACTGATGAATGCTCACCAATGAATTACACTTCCTCCTTATTTTAGGATTTCTTATTTGTTATGAAGGACAAAGCCACCCCTACTATACTGTACTGTAATATAATTCATGTAGCTGTGAACCTTTTTACACTGCAGAACTAACTGAAATCTCTTGCCAAGTCAAGCCACATCTTAATCTTTTATCAAAACAAGAACAAGCAGTGATTTTGGTTGTGGAATTAGCAGGTTATTTCTAATCTGCTTCATAGAGCAGAAGTCAAAGGTTGATGTAAATATCAAGCTAGAGCCCTCATACATTTATTTTTCAAACTAAAACAAACGCATGACAGAATCAGGTCAGTGAAATCTAATGTCAGTGCAGCAGTGTGACAGCGGCTCCTGAGTCTTACCTCTGAGGTTGGTGTTCTACCTGTAGTCTGTCACTAACCCCCTGGTCTGGGTGTCGGCCACCTCTCTGTCCCCTGCAGCCTCCCGACGTCACTCCCGTTCAACCAGTGCTCTCTCCACAGCTGACCCTCACAGCCAGTCAGGTGACCTGCATGCCCAGCCCTCCCAGCCTCCCAGTCTCTCTCGGTTCTCCCCCAAATTCCACATCTTAGAGGCAATAATGCCTACTGAACCAGCATGCCTCTGTGGTTGTGTTAAGTGTTATGTCTGCAGGCAGCATCCATCATTCACTTACTTATTTCCCCTTCAGAGTATTTTAGAGAATTTTATTCAGTATGTTAGCAAACTGGGAAGGTAAGGATAGTCAAGTTGTATTTGTTTGGCATGCAAAGGGAAACATTATGTGTTCATGCTTGTCCCTTAATCACCACTTTGCATTTTCAGTGCCTTATATATTTCTATTTAGCTGTGATTTTTGTGGAATTGTGATCTATAGCCTTTTATGTGCCTCTGGCATTTTAATTTGTAACATATAAGCTCATATTTGTTGGTTTTCCTCTTTGGTGCATAGTTGGTGCTCTGTATGCTTCATCTCCCAGGGAAAGGGCATAGCTGTAATGTATGCCTGTGCTTTTGCCTAAGAATTTGGTCATCCTCTAATTGGGTTTTTCTTTTGTCACGTGTCTTTTCACTTTGCTTTTGGTGGTTGGAGACCTTGAGAATATTCCCCAGTAGTGATCTTTTCAGCTCATTCATTTACAGTGTATTGCATTCAAATGAGTCCAAAAGAAACAGTAAGAAAACCATCCTTTGCTTTTTCTTTTGTCCAGTCAGGTAAGTTACAATGGCCACATTTCATTTACTGCCAAGCTTCACTCACCGTCTTCCTTTACCTTTTTCTTTTCCCGCTTCCCATCTAGACCGGTATGGTTTGATTCACCAAGCAAGAATCTCTGCGTCAGTCAACGCCATGAGGGTCCTGAACACTGGCACAGAGGTGGAGGCAGCAGTTGCTGATGCTCTGGTAAGATGCTGTGGAATCTTTGCCTTCAGGACAACACATGTTAACAAGTGTGCTGTTATTTAGAGGGTAATGCTGTTAAAGCAGGCACTAAAACAAGGTTTTTATACTGACATGACTAAAATAGTATAATATTGGTTAAATTTGCATCTTCTTCTGCCACTTATCTGGGTCCAGGTCACATAAATTGATTAAACATGATTAAATATATGATTATGAATTATTGCTAAATACAGCTGGGAAGCACTGACAACATTTTTATATAAATGTCAATAAATACTTAATAAATAATTGTAGGCCTTTTTGTCCTGACTCTTCATCATTCTCTGAACAGTATATAAAAAAGCAATTCTTGAGAAACGACACTGCAACGATGCTCACAAACTCTCCTACTATAGCAAACAACAGCATAATTTGGCAAAGTAGAAATAAGTTAAATGTCCGCGGGCGAGTCATCTGACGTGACCTGGCCACCACATCATGGCTGGAACGGCTGGAATAGTGTTGCATGGCTCGGCCCACTTTGTTTCCCCATTTACAGAGCCAGACTGTGAACAAACACTGGATTGTTTTTGGCTATCAGACCGTGAGGAGATATTCACAAAATTTGACAAAAAGACTAGATTTAGTGATCCCACCTTTAAATAGGGCTCAACTTTGTACACTGGTTAAGGGGGTTTTGCCATTAATGAGCAACGTCAGACCCCAACGTTTGGTTTGCTCATTGTTCTGATGGAGCACAGTAAGCATTTCTCTGCAACATACACCAGTGCGAGTTCTTTACTTTGATTAAAGACCTAGATCAGTCCTTCCTGCAATGACTGGTAGAACACACTTGCCATTCTTCCATTGATTTTGCTTTCTGATTTTCAAACATGGAAAAACAGGCTGGCTGCTGAAATCTCATCTAACTCCAATAGCCAAGCAACCAACACCAGTTTGCAGAATAATTTATTCTTTTTTATCTGCAACACACACTTCATAACACATTAACACATTTAACTAGTCGCTCTGTTTAAAGTTCAAGGCTCAGCTGATTTTGAATGAATGTTTTCCAGACTTTAATCGTTTAATGTAAACTAAGTGAGCAGAACGTAGTCAACTTTTGTAAGGGTACCGGCTGGTCTTAGAAAATAAATGTATGTTCATAGATGCTGAATATCATTAAGCCTAAGGGATACATTAAGATGCCATATGTTCCTTCTTTTCTTTATTCTGACCCTTTATTAAGAGTTTCTGAACCATTCCCACATCAGTTAAAATGTAAAATGTCTAATTTTGTCCTCTATTGCATACCCAGAAGGACTGTACTTGTTCTTTGTTCCCCTTTAAATCTCCCTTCTCTCCTCTTTCCCTCTTGGTTGTTTGTTACCATTTCAGCTATTAGGAGACTCCAGGAATAAGGTAGTTGGTCATTTTACATACTGTTCGTATATATCCACGCCATCATGCACTAATCAAGTTGAGAAAACAATGATGCAGCTTGCCTCATAATATTGGCTCATGGCGCCCCTCCACCCCACCCCCCTTTTTATAGATTTTGTAAACAAAATTCTCCCTTGAATTTTAAGCTCATCGCATCCCAGTTGTGTGCTTTTATGGTACCCTGGCAAAGTTTAATTTTTTCACATTGTGTTATAATGTATTGAACTTCATTGTTTTGGTACATTATTCATATGTCTGTATTTCTTTTTTTCAAAAGTCCATAAGATTAAATATGCTCTACTGTTTGCATTTGTAGTCAAGACCTTTGCTTCCTTGTGGCACTGCTTGACTGGCTTTTAATGTTCATTTAAAACAAAAGTTACCCTTAAACCTAAAAGTATCAGAAGAAAACATGAAATGTACAGAAATCTGCATGGCTACCTGATGCAACTGGCAACCTTGTGTCAAAGATTTAGACCTCATGGCTGAGTTTATTTGCCTCAGCACATTTCCTGCTGAGACAGGGTAACATTTAGGTACCATACTGCGTGTCGTACATTTTCTTCACATTCTTCTATCTTTCTCAGAGGAAGCCGTTGAGGCGGAGGTACGAATCACCGGGGATGTACTCTGATGATGATGCCAACAGCGACGCGTCCAGTGCTTGCTCTGAGCGCTCATATGGCTCAAGGAACGGTGGCATCCCCCATTACCTGCGCCAGACAGAGGATGTCGCGGAGATCCTGAACCACTGTGCCAGCTCCAACTGGTCAGAGAGGAAGGAGGGCCTGCTGGGCCTGCAGAATCTCCTCAAGAGCCAGAGGGTACTGAGGTGGGTAATGTTCAGCTTGCTCAAGTGTTACCAAAGGCTGTAACTATGTGTCATCTGCTAAACAGTAAAAGCAGCTGTTTGTGATTGTGTAATAGCTCTGAACGATACGGCAGACATTAGACACTCGAGTTTGAGACTCGGACTCAAGTCCGACTTAAGTCGCACACACACTGACTTCAGACTCGACTTGAGACTCATCTTCAGAAGACTTCAGACTTGACTCAGACTCGAGGTGCGGGACTCATGAACAATGTTTATTTTTAGGAAACTTCTTATGAACTTGCTGTTATTCCACTCCCTCCGTTACCTATAACCTGCCAACACGTAGTATCAGCTGCGCACAGCCACACATGAGTGAGGACAACAAACACCGGCTGATGCTGTGCCATTCATCATCCCCATCAGTCTGGGGGATGTGTTGACTTACATAGTCATTAATTGCAGTGCACATTACATGGTTGTGCTCTGTAAGTAAAAAACAGGTTATAGTTACAGAATTCCTTATAGCTATGCAGGTTTATAAGCAGCCTGGATTGAACGCAGCAGGTGATAGAAAATTCTAGCTCAGAGACTTGTGACTTTACTTGGACTCTAGCTCAAAGACTTGAGACTTGACTTGGACTTTAGCTCAGAGAATTGAGACTTGACTTGGACTCTAGCTCCAAGACTTGAGACTTGACTTGGACTTTAGCTCAGAGACTTGTGACTTTACTTGGACTCTAGCTCAAAGACTTGAGACTTGACTTGGACTTTAGCTCAGAGAATTGAGACTTGACTTGGACTCTAGCTCCAAGACTTGAGACTTGACTTGGACTTTAGCTCAGAGAATTGAGACTTGACTTGGACTCTAGCTCCAAGACTTGAGACTTGACTTGGACTTTAGCTCAGAGACTTGAGACTTGACTTGGACTCTAGTTCAAAGACTTGAGACTTGACTTGGACTCTAGCTCCAAGACTTGAGACTTGACTTGGACTTTAGCTCAGAGACTTGAGACTTGACTTGGACTCTAGCTCAGAGACTTGAGATGTGACTTGGACTCTAGCTCAGAGACTTGAGACTTGACTTGGACTTTAGCTCAGAGACTTGAGACTTGACTTGGACTCTAGCTCAGAGACTTGAGACGTGACTTGGACTCTAGCTCAAAGACTTGAGACTTGACTTGGACTCTAGCTCAAAGACTTGAGATGTGACTTGGACTTTAGCTCAGAGACTTGAGACGTGACTTGGACTCTAGCTCAGAGACTTGAGATGTGACTTGGACTTTAGCTCAGAGACTTGAGACGTGACTTGGACTTTAGCTCAGAGACTTGAGACTTGACTTGGACTCTAGCTCAAAGACTTGAGACTTGACTTGGACTCTAGCTCAAAGACTTGAGACTTGACTTGGACTTTAGCTCAGAGACTTGAGACTTGACTTGGACTCTAGTTCAAAGACTTGAGACGTGACTTGGACTCTAGTTCAAAGACTTGAGACGTGACTTGGACTCTAGCTCAGTGACTTGAGACTTGACTTGGACTCTAGCTCAGAGACTTGAGACGTGACTTGGACTCTAGCTCAGAGACTTGAGACTTGACTTGGACTCTAGCTCAGAGACTTGAGACTTGACTTGGACTCTAGCTCAAAGACTTGAGACTTGACTTGGACTCTAGCTCAGAGACTTGAGACTTGACTTGGACTCTAGCTCAAAGACTTGAGACTTGACTTGGACTCTAGCTCAGAGACTTGAGACGTGACTTGGACTCTAGCTCAGAGACTTGAGACGTGACTTGGACTCTAGCTCAGAGACTTGAGACTTGACTTGGACTCTAGCTCAGAGACTTGAGACATGACTTGGACTTGTGAGCATCTCTGGTCCACATCAAGTGTACTGTGTTAATACTTTTCACACACCTACTTACCTGGTCACACGTGAACTCGCACTTAATTGCTGAATACCTCCAAGCGTGGGTATGGGGGACAGACCCGTTGTCTTGAACTATGCTGAAGGGGGGATAAAAGTGACTAGATTGTCAGAGCATTTCTTAGCACCTACCTTAGCTTTGTAGATACATGAAAGAATGTAAATATTAAGCTCTGCTTTGGAAGATTCTTGGACTTTTAACATGAGAAGCAAATAGAACTATTTGGCAATCCCAGCCATGCTTTACGTCCTGTTTGTCTTCTGTTTATTGCAGCCGAGTGGAGTTGAAGAGACTTTGTGAGATCTTCACAAGGATGTTTGCAGATCCACACAGCAAGGTAAAGAAGATGAATTGTACCAAATGCTCTTCACAACTAATTATTATGATGAAGTGTAAAAGCATGGTATCCAAAATACAGCAATAAACGATGAAGCTGTGACTTTCTTGAAACTAATGAAGTGTGTCTTGTTGCATGGTCTGTCTTGCTGTGGATTTAACAGAGAGTAAGTGTGTTTTTTTTTTTTTTAATCCAAATTATTACAGACGTGAACCTAAATCTGACTGAACGTGAGCAGTTAAATATTATTTTAGTCAAATTGAGCCATGCTGTGTAATAATTTTGAACTGTGCACATGTTGTCAGGTGTTCAGCATGTTCCTGGAGACCCTAGTAGACTTCGTCACAGTACACAGGGAGGACCTGCAGGACTGGCTTTTTGTCCTGCTCACCCAGCTGCTGAAAAAGATGGGGGCAGACCTGCTAGGCTCAGTCCAGGCCAAAGTCCAGAAGGCCCTGGATATCACGAGGTCTGAAACACAAGCCAGGCACCACGGTTACATTTGGAGAGATAGGCCTCTTTAGATTTCTGTCTTTGAGTTTCCCATAAGTAATGTTTCTTTTCTAGTTTACTCTGTCACAGTTTGAGTTGTGATCTCAATTAGTGGTCAACTAGTGTATATCTTTGAGCTGGTTGGTACTCAAAATCAATCTCATAAACTAAAGCTTGTTCGATAATGTATGAGATAAACCGTCTAATACTAAGCAAAAAGTGAACCTCTCATTTCTTATCTTCAGGGAGTCCTTCCCATTTGACCAACAGTTCAACATTCTGATGAGATTTATCGTCGATCAGACTCAGACACCTAATCTCAAGGTAAAGTCAAATGAGAAAGACTGTGATTGTATTTACAGCCAAGATGATTTAGATTGGTTAGTGTGATTAATACAACTTTAGTGAGACATGTGACCAAATGTTTGTTGTCTCTTTAGGTTAAGGTGGCCATTTTGAAGTACATTGAGTCCCTGGCTCGGCAGATGGACCCCACAGACTTTGTCAACTCCAGCGAGACACGCCTGGCCGTATCTCGCATCATCACCTGGACCACTGAACCCAAAAGTTCCGATGTCAGGAAGGTATGGCCATGGTTTTCATCCTGACAATGGGAAAAGTCTTTGCTTAGACAAAACCTAAACATGAAGTTTCCTCTAGAATGATCTTTTTTCTATCCTTCTTCACTGCCTTTTTAAAATTCATATTCATTCTTATTTTCAGTAGGACGTATCTATCACTACATGATTTAACTTTTTAATCTTAATCATTGGAGTGATTAGAGAATATTAACTATTATTTTAGTATTTGGTCAAATAAGGTGTGATACAGAAATAATGGTTAAATCCTATGGTCTAATGTCACAGTTCTAAACCACGGAAATTTAGGGTACACAATTAAATTCTCATGCTTCCAGGTTAATGAAGAGAGGGCACATTAGCTCTCACATTACAAAGACATCTTGTCTTTTAGGTTCTTTTGTTTAGCCTCAAGTGGGTAAGCAAACTTGCTAACAGCTTAGAGACTTGTTTAGTATGACTTTCATGAATTGGTATGAAATTAGATTAAACTGTTAATTGATTTTAGAATATTTATCTGCAGAACAAATCCATCATTCCTAAAACATAAATGTTTGCTTGGCAACCAATCAGAGGACACACTCAACAGCCAGTGGCATCTTGTATACCGCCACAGTTTTTTTCATTTGTAGTCTTCAGCCTGTAGTGTTTGTTTAGCAGCAGTTAATAGGACACTCTCTGTGTGACTAGCCTTGGATCAATGGCCCGTTATCTTCCACTTGTCTGACCCGCGTCATGTTAGCCGTCTGTGTCCCTTATTTTTGTTTGTCCGCTGCTGTTCTTCTAAATGAAAATCCTCACCTAGTTTTAGGGCCTCACCTCTAGGCAAGCTGAACAAATATCTAGGATGGAACAGTTGAAAGATCAGCTGAGTATTGCATCCATATGTGATGGCGGAGGACCTGTGTCATGCTGTAATGCCCATTCTGCCTTGCCAATCTGCCCAGACCCTTCAAAACTGGGTGAGCGAGGAGCTAGCTGGCAGGTCCAGTACTGCAGCCTTACTGTCCGCTGAGGGCAACCAGGAAGAAAGGTGTAAGCAGGTAGAGCCCGCTCCCGCAGCCAATCACAACACGACACGATAAGCACGCAATGCCCCGCCTGCCTGGTGCCTAACCAACACCTTCAACACCGTGAAAACTTGAGTGTGGCATCTCTCACTCACCTCAAACATTTACACTCCAGCTATTTTGCTGTAACAACCTAAAAATCATTCTGTGCTTTGCAAATTGATCACTCACCAAATAATTTTTTTTTTTACAGGAAATGCTTGTTGCTTTGTATGAATGGACTTTTAAGCCAATTTAATTGCTCAACATTGAAGTGAATGCTGTTTAGTTACTACTGTCTGTCTAACACATTTTGTTTGTCTGACTCACCTTAACAGCCTCTCATCCACCTGCATACCTGCATGTTGTTAACATTTTATTTTTGTAAAAAGAGAGAGTCAAAATACATATTAAAAGTAAAGTGTTTGTGTTATATCTGTATGTAAAATGGCAAGTAGCAGTATTCAGAAGCTTTACATAATTCTTTTGCTTTTGTCAAAAGCAACATACAATGAGTGTGCTCAAGCCTGATAGGAACAAGTGCTAGATGTCATTACAAAGTGCTGAGAGTTCGATCTTTCCACAAATTAAGCACTTTTCAATCTCCCCTAATTATACACACTCAGTGGCCACATTATTAGGTACATGTGTACAGTCTAATGCAATCCAATGCAACTTTTCTGCCATAAAGTCTACTTTTATGATGTAACATTGAGATGTTAATTCCATTACATGTTTGAGCGCTGAGGTCCGAGTTATTGTTAGTGTTGTACTTAACAACTGTTCTACTGCATTATATTCAGAGGTTTCTAATATTATGCCCCCCTAATGTATGTAAATGTAAGGACACAAAATTAGAAACACCTTTTCAGTATAATGTAGAAACTTTATGACTGTAGAATTCATGGCAATGTTGTTGTATTGAATTGTAATTGATTGTACAGGTGTAGCTAATAAAGCGGCCACTGAGTGTATATACTGTTACATGTTTCATCCCACTTGAGTTTGCTAGCCTGATGTACAGAATATAATAATATATATATATAATATATATATAATATAATCAGTTCAGTATATAACCCAATAATTTTTCAGTCATATCTCAGCCTAACCTGAACACTCAGACATCGATTAATCCACTCAGCAAACACTTCAGATTTTGCCTCATAATAATCACATATTAGATTTTTCTCTGTATCAAAAGAAATCATGGTGATTCTTGTCTGGACTTCCATGTTTACAGCAATCAGGAACTGCTGGTAGCTAATAAAGCATGACGTGAGTCACGGTGCAGCTTCACCAAAATACATATATAAGCTAAATCCCAAAGCTAACTCACTGACACATTGCAACGGTATACTTAACATTTACATTACCGAAGCATGACGGAAAAGAGAAGGGAAAACAACAGGAGTGACAATAACCAATGTTTTATTCATTCTTTTGGTGGCATATAGTGACAGTGACATCTACCTGTAAAAATAGATTTTTTTTATTTATTAACCCACAAAAATGTGATGGTTGTCCCTCAAATATCTGCTAGAGTAAAAAGACCTTTTCGTTTCTGTCTTCATACAGTATACTGTCTTCTGATGAACCAGAGATCTTCTATTCCACAGCAACCATAGCAAACAAGTACTTTCTACAGCCCCCCTCAAGTTTGATCTGCATTCACTTGCATGTTGCAACACTGATAGAGCCTGAGTCATATGTCCTTGAGTAGTTGTATACTTCTTTAGTTTTCCGCTGACTGCAACGTTGAACACTCACCTTTTAACAATTTCTTTCTACAGGCTAATGTACACGTTAGTCCACCAAGAAGTGAACTGTGGAGCTGAAAAGCTGGTTTCCGTGGTTTTAGACTTTTATTGACCTTTATTAACGTTAGCCTTTGCATTGGATTGGTCCTCTGTGGTTTTACAGATGCTGACCATGTGGAAAATTGTCAAATGCTACAGCAATTCAGTCACAACCTGGATTATCTGAGCTTTATATATAAAAATGTCATAATGGCTTCTCTGACTCACTCTGGTGAAACTGCTGTTAGAAACATGGTCAAGGTATTTCTGGAACCAAGGAAACCATCTGAACGTTTTCTAATGCATTGTGTCCTCCATCCTAACCTGTTGTACTACACTGCCTCCAGGCGGCCCAGGTGGTGCTCATCGCTTTGTTTGAGCTCAACACCCCAGAGTTCACCATGCTGCTGGGAGCGCTGCCCAAAACCTTCCAAGACGGAGCCACCAAACTGCTGCACAACCACCTGAAGAACTCCAGCAACACCAGCAGCAGTGTGGTAAGTCAAATGAAACACTGTAGTATTTCAAATCACTCATACTGGGAACCTGACCCAGGCTCACCTGAGTACCTGTTAAGGGGCCTAGGCTCGTCAAGCAGCCTGCACCTCTTTTGCCTCTGTTACAGAACTTTACTACCTATTATCCAAAGAAAAATCAACTGGACTTGTTTAAAAATACTAGAAGATGTTTCAGCTCATCCAAGAGACTTCTTTACTTCTGAACTGAAGAAGTCTGTGAAGGTTCTCGGTCATCCAGGTCATAGTTATCCAAGAAAGGTTTAAATCAAGGGCAACCGGACTTGGTTAAAGATACTTAAAGACGTTTTAACCTGTTATTGTTTATTGTTCTATTGCTTTGAGGACCACATCCTATGAGCTATATTGTGAGTACTAGCAAGTACTAGTAATAACTGCTTTAGATTGGCTGGACCATTGGTCAGAAACCCCACAATCTTGAAGTTGTTTCTTACCGTTGTTACCTTATGTAGCTGTGTTTAAACTCACTCTGTAGCAGCTCACCTTTCCTCGGGCTTGTTGCCTTTTAGCCTGAATAGTAGTTTCCGGTTATATACTGCCCTACGTGTGTGGATTCAGGACTAAAGTATAATATGACTTTAGGTTATTGTCTACTGTTTTGGCAAAGGTCATTCTCTGTTCATTTTGACAGGATGGCCCCGCCCCTAGTTTTTTTACCTAGCCTGCTAGAGTTCACGAATTTACCTTTGAGTGGCTGGATACCGCCTGCTTCAGAGGGTTGTTTATTAATCCGTATAAGAATAAGGAGGAGGAGATGGGTATATATAAGAAAACATCCTTTATTCAGTTCTCAACAAAGGGTACAGATGATACAGTGGTTGTACAATTCCTGTTAAGGGACAAAGTTATATGTTAGTTACTGTATATGGTATAAAAGTTATGGTATAGTTATTCCTGCAAATCCAGTCTTGTAAGCCTCGGTGAGAACTAGAAGGTCTCTGAAGTGGTAACATCTTCTAAATTTCTACCTTCATATATACTAGGCAGTAAGAGTAGAGTTTTCATGGCCCTATTTGTGCTTCCTCTTCCCTCCCTTTCTTCGAGAGGCAACGTTCAGTTCTACAGAAGCCCAGCTCAGACGAAAAATTGTGTATCAACCCTCAAAGGAGACCATACAGTAGTAACGACAAAGCTAGATGCTCGTAGATCAGTAGGACCATCAGACAGCAGCGTTGCGACATTTATATTTCTTTATTGTTTCCTTGCCTTCCAGGGGTCTCCGAGCAACACCATTGGCCGGACGCCGTCGCGCCACACCCCCAGCAGAACCAGCCCCCTCACCTCTCCCACAAACTGTTCCCACGGAGGGCTGTCTCCAAGGTAGCCAATCACCGATCTGTTATTAAACAGTTACCTACAACACACCGCACCTCCTGTCCTACTGCATGGCCGTGGTTTAATGGATGGTGGACATGGATACTGCTGCTAACTGACTAACAAACTAACGCGGAACCTAGGAGGCGGGTTGGTAGGAGCATCACACTGAGTGAGTTGCTCAGAGAGGTTACAACACATCCTTTCTCCAAGCATTTTTGGTAGAAATAAAGAAGCCAAAAGTTTTTCGCAACAGATCAAATACAACCCACAAAACACATTTTACCCACAACTGATAACATTTTTACTACCTTAATAAAACATTTGATAACCAGACTATTTGATGTTGTCATACAAGGCTGTTAATATACAGTAGACAACAGGGGAGGTCCATGCACCTTTTTGTCTCCTGTGTCAGCGTAATGTGGACCCCTGACTTATAATTACGCTTCCCTCAATATAGTGTGTTTCTCTCTGACAGCAGCTCACTCGCCTGATGCACTGGACAGTCATTTTATCTGCCACCCAAACACATATTGTATCTTCTGGTTGTAATGACCTTAGTTGAACTTAAAGTACACTTCATATTGAGCTAAAACATGTGGAAAATGGCCCCTCACTCATGACAATTCTTATTTTATGTAAAGCTGACTTAGTGGGATTCCACTACTTTCCAATGCTCTCCTCTGAATTAACACTTTCCTATAACCTTAAAGCTCAGACTAGTTTCTGTTTGTCTTTTCTCTTTCTCTCTCTGCACACTTGTTGTTTTCCTCTTCCTCCTCCCCTCCTCTTGTTGATTTCCATCCGCCTCGCCTCGCTCTCTCACTCCTGTCTGTCCATCCTTCCCTCCCGGCTGCGCTGTGGCAACAGTCGGTTGTGGGGTTGGGGTGTCGACGGACTGTCAAAGCACACCCCTAGCCCTCCTCCTCCTCCTCCGCCCCACTCCACCCCTGCTGCCCCCTCCCTAAGGGTCCTGCGCAGAGCATATTCACCCAGGTAAAGAGGCGGGCTGAGACACAAAGGAGATTATTCCCTGAAGGAAGCCAGACCCTGATCCTTCTAAGTTGACAGTATCGGATTAGTTTTCATGTGTGTCAGTTTCTCACAGAATGCATATTACTCCATCATCTCTAATCAAATGAAAAAAAAATGTATCAATTAAATTTACATTGCTTCAAAGGATGAGCTGATGTGGTGTGTGTCCAATTCAAAATAGACAATGAAACGACAGTTTACATACACCTGGCCTTTCCCTTTCTAAAACCTAATCTAACCTGGCCAACACTTTGCATGGTGGCAACACTAATACATGCTTGTGTTTCTTCTCCAGATATGCTTGTCATGTAAATTGTGTGTATATTTCTTTCTGTGTTTGTGTGTCTGGTAGCATGATGGAGTATGACACCGAGAACATGAACTCGGAAGAGATCTACAGCTCGCTGCGCGGTGTCACCGAAGCCATCCAGAGCTTCAGCTACCGGAGCCAGGAGGACCTGAATGAGCCAATCAGACAGGAGGGCAAGAGGGATGATGCAGTATGTCGTAACATTTGCAACTTCTTCAGTTGTCTCTCAACTGAAGAATAGGCTTGCTATAATCATTCCTGCTGTTCATACTTGTCATTACCAGATCCTTTTATAATGTGCTTTCAATGTAAGTGATCATCATTAAAAACAGTGGCATTAATCCTGTCTCATATCTTCCCACCTACCCTTCTGTCTGACAGGCAGGACGAGAAGGCGTGTCGTCCTCTACTGGCTCTGACGCCCGCCTGGGCTTAGACATGGTGGAAGGGGGCCGCACCGCCTTAGACAACAAGACGTCACTACTCAACACGCCATCACCTCGCTCGTTCTCTGGGCCACGGGGCCGCGAGTTCGCTCCTTATGGCTACGGAGAAACAATCTGCACATATGACAAGAGCGCCCTGAAGGAGGCTGTCTTTGACGATGACGTGGAGCAGTTCCGAGACTGTGAGTTCATACCACCGGCGATGTAATTATCGCAGCAGACAGAAATCATACAACATAAAGCACGTACCTTGTGAGTTTTGGAAGTGTTCTCATTCTGGAACAAAGTAGTTTTAATCCCCTGCTTGATTTTAAAGTATTGTCCCTTGCATATTATGTCACTGACGTATATTTCACACATGCACAGAATGTGCTGCAACCATCTTGCATACACTTATCAAACTGTGGCTTCAATAGACACTCTTAAAGGCATTTTCTCAATTCACTTACAGCTGAGGTGCTCTGATACAGACAACTAAAACGTTTTGTTCTCTTTATTCAGTGTCTTACAGTATATGCTTACTCCTGAGGGTCACAGTGTTTTGTGATTTCGAGCTTAAGTGAAGAAAATCTGAGATAATTTTTTGTAGTTTTGAAGAAACTGACATTTTCATTGTTGTTGTTTGCTTACTTTCTTAGTTCTGGTCAAAAATGTAAAAAGAGTGTCACGGGACAAGGACAAGTTGTGTCCACAAGCTTTCAGTCTTGACTTTTCCCTTATCATTCTGCATCCATCATTCCCCCATTGTGTAATGTTCTGTATCATATCATTTTGACAACATAAATGAAGACACCTTACAAGGCTACCTCTGTTAAGTGGTGTTGACACCTCACCCACGATTGTGGCAATGATTTTTTGTTTTAGATTTGACTCTTGACTTGGTTAGTTGGCTGAACATTACATTTCTACAAGATGACAGAAGAAATAGTGCAAGGAGGTGAACCTTTCTCTGCATTATGTTTACCACAAACTCAGGTGTGAGTCTGCAGCTCCTCCACAAGCCAGTCTGTGCGTCAGTTGTTGTTGCCGTCATCACATCCTTTGCTCTGCACCCTCCTGTCTCCCCTCTGTCCCTCACCTCTCCACCTCCATCCCTCCTCCACCCCCTCCTCTCCAGGCCGGCGTCAGGAAAGTGGTGAAAACAAGATGATGTTCCCCAAGGTCTTTGCTCCTGGTAAAGGTGCCTCCCCTGCCTGGCTGTTTTGCTGGCTGTCTTAGAAACTGACCGACAGACTTGATGACTGAACAACTGAGTGACCGACTATTTACTGACTGCAGCTTCACTCAACTCACTCTTTGTGCATTATACACTCAGTTCTCTCAATTCCATCACCATTTATCATGGTGTTCAAATTCTTTTAACTCCACCTACTACCCGTGTGTTCACTAAGTCCAACCTGTCCTGCTTTTTCTGCAGAACTAGCTGGTGCCTTGATGCTTTTACTAACAGTTGTGGCATTCTCTGTGATTAACTGAATCTTTGCGTGGTTGTGTTAGTATGTCTAATACATCTTTAGAGATTCTTCTCAACAACTGAATATCTAGACACCTGCAGCTCCAGAACAGTATACATGAAATTAGCTTAATTACACTAACAACTACAGCAATTTAATAATCTATATAATATAACACATAGACATTATGTCAACTTGACATGGACAACCATTGACAAAATAAATATATAACATCTAGGGATCGATCCCTATAGGCAGCGATCAGCTGATTTTACTCACAGAGCCTCTGGCTTCAGCTGCGGCTGCTTCAGGTGTAGTTGGTTTGATTGGCGGGATTTGCAGCCTCTCTATTCCTCTGCTTGCTTCTTTAGACTTTTCAGTGTTCTTTAGGGACTTGTTTAATCAAAAGTTAGTTAGTCTTTCCTCATATACTACTACTGTGAGAATGAACTAACTGGATGCGGAGCGATCTGATACAATTTCCAAATGTTTTTATGTAACAGATATTTGAAACAAGAAAAAAATAAAATAGATAACCTTGCTTGTCCATAACAACAATAAAAATAATAATAGGCTATTAATCAACTACTATGGCTTCTACAGGTGGGATTTTATTCAGGGTATCAAATGAAGTACTGGTATCAGTATCACTTTAAGGGTACTGGTTTTGGTACTAGTATCATAAAATTTTAAATGATACCCAACCCTAATAACATCACATGTTAGAATTAAGTTGCACAGCCATTCACTGTATAGACAAACTTAAATTTTTTATGTTCAAAACCATAGGCTTTTCAAGCCATTTAAAATGTGAGGTCATTTTTTGTCCTGTAGAGCTATGACTTTAGGCTGTCATTGCATGGCCAGCTTTAAACTTTGATGTGCATTGAGAGACGTGTTCCTCATACAGAATGCACTACGCTGTCCATCTGTGCATCTTGACATCATGTCACTTTATGTTCAGCCTTAAAATTGCAACTTCCTCTAAACAAGTAAAAACGTGTATATTGAAATTACAATCCATTTTGTCGTGACAGACAGAATATGAGATATGACTTTACTTGAAAATGTATTTGCATTGGAAACCAATTTTCCCGAAGCATAGGAAGTTTTTTCTACTAGTCTTGAAACAATTGAAGATGAAATGACTGATGGATGACGCTAAGATTGGATCATTTTTTGGCCATGGCAACATGTCAGTAGCTGTATTTGTGATGCACAATATGATGTGTAACTTTTATTTCTCATCCTCTCTTGGCGAGCAGTCGGCCATGACCACTCAGACCTGGTGGCCGACCTGCTTAAGGAACTGTCCAATCACAACGAGCGTTCTGAGGAGCGTAAAGTCGCCCTGGTGGAGCTGCTGAAGATCACACGTGAAGACAGCCTGTCTGTGTGGGATGAACACTTTAAAACCATTCTCCTCCTCCTGCTGGAGACCCTGGGTGATAAAGACGTACGTTCTGTGATGGCTCTACATGTGACTCAGAGCGAGTGTGCTTCTGTAGAGGTTTGCTGATTATAGTACAATAAAACTGTTAATGTTTGTGTGTGGAGGATGTTGATTCCCTCTGAGCTTAACAGGCACCAGTGGGAATCACACTCCTGAGTGTATGTAAGGTAGGTATGTTTAATTCAGTTTCAATTCAATTCCAACAGCACAACAACAGCAAAGGTGGTAGTGGTGCAGATATCAATAAATATGAATAATAGTACTAATAATGACAATTATTAATGTGAATAATAGTAGGATAATAATAATAATTGTAGCAGTGAGGGAGAGGAGGAGGGAGGAGCTCAGTACATCATGGGAGGCAGCCTAGGCCCATAGCAGCATATCTGAGGGATGGTTCAGGGTTGTGTGGATATTCAGCAAGTATTCAAGAATGAAATAGCAGGATATCTCTACCTTTAAGTGATTGTCCGCTGTTTCCCCCAGCACACCATCCGTGCCATGGCCCTGCGTGTGCTGAAAGAAATTCTGAGGAACCAGCCGGCCCGCTTCAAAAACTACGCTGAGCTAACCATCATGAAGACCCTGGAGGCTCATAAAGACTCTCACAAGGAGGTACACAGCTCCCATATTAAAACTGCAGAATACATATGGGGGGGGTTTGCAGATCAAGCTTAAAATACACAGTTTAGATAGATAGTTAGATAATGTGTTAAGAAACTGTTGCCTATTTATACATCCAGCAGATACGGAGGGACAGTATTTATTTGGAGTTGTGTTTGTGTCCACCGGGAGGCTAAACAGCTGCAGAGTTTGTGTTGTGTTCATAAGATACAAGCTAAGTTACTACAAATAGTAAAAACATGGTCTCTAAAACAGCCTCTCTGGGTAGCGACTGTAACTATTACAAGTGCCCCAGGAACAGCTTTTGACCATAACTTAGAAAAACTTTATTTTATATTGATTTATTATATTCAATCAAGTGGATTTGTCACATGAAATAATTTAAGATGCATTCACAGTGAAATTTTATATTATTGATCTTAATTGCGTTGATGTGCTTTTAGGTGGTGCGTGCAGCCGAGGAGGCGGCGTCCACCCTGGCCGGCTCCATCCACCCAGAGCAGTGCATCAAGGTGCTGTGCCCTATTGTGCAGACAGCTGACTACCCCATAAACCTGGCTGCCATCAAGATGCAAACCAAAGTCATTGAACGCATCGCCAAGGACTCCTTACTGCAGCTGCTGCCCGACATCATTCCTGGACTCCTGCAGGTCTGCGCCCGAGGATTAAACGTTACATGCTGCAGTTCAGACACTGCAAGAGTTTCATAGAAATATAGATTTGGACTGCTGCATTTTATTCTATTAGTTACTCAAAAAACCTGAAATTGTTTTATTCTTTAGTTCTGACTGAACACTCACAGTCTCAGAATCTGATCAAACTTGCGAAAGTGTACTAATTTATTATTAGATAACAGAATTGCAGTGGTTTTTGGAGAAGACACAGCAGAGACATCTTTGTCAGCTCTAAAAGGCATATTTGGACACTGGGAATTATTTGCCTTATTTGTCCCTGGAAATGTTTGCGTGTACTCTGCACTCTTTGTGACTCTTCACATGTTCCTGCTAACCGTGCGTGTGTGCGTGCGTGCGTGTGTGTGTGTGTGTGTGTGTGTGTGTGTGTGTGTATGCGTGATGCGTGATGCTGTCTTGTCTCTCTGCAGGGCTATGACAACACAGAGAGCAGTGTTCGCAAGGCTAGCGTGTTCTGTCTGGTGGCTATCTACTCTGTAATTGGCGAGGACCTGAAACCTCACCTGGCACAGCTAACAGGCAGCAAGGTACTGACTGTCACACACACACACCCACAGTTACCAAAACCTCTTCAACAGATGCAGAGCCTTATCATCTTCCCATGTTGTTATTTCTCAGCAGGCTTCAAGCGTGTGTCCAGTTCTAAAGCACAGGGTCATATTTGCCCTACTTTCTCTACATGTGACCTTGGGTTGAGGTCTGAGGGTCAGTTTCTCCTGAATGGAGGGACCCTCCCCAACCCACCCCCACCCTCCAACTACTATCTCTTGAACAGCTGGTTATTTGAAAGGAGTTTGATACGTGCAGTATTGAACGAGTGTGGCCGAGTAAGCACTGTCGCATTCAAGTTGTACTTTGAGTTGTAGTCTTAGTGCAAACAAAAGTTTAGACTCGACCCAAACCACTTTTGTTGTGATATCCAGATCGGATGTAGAGGCATATTCTTCAGGAGTATCCAGCTGAATATGGTCATGAAATTGAAAATGAGTTGGATTTTTGTATTCAATGCTTATTCGTCCAAAGCCCACATCAAGGCATTATAAAATATACTAATATAATGTTGCCAATATTAGTGAAAAGTATATTTTGATTGAATGATACAGGAATTTAAATTTCAGTGTTTCCCTTTGACCTCTTCTGCACATCTAATAACATCAGCTGTGAGATCATTTAATGTTCAGCATCATTTGGAAGAATTTCAAGAATTGTTGCACATCACAGCGGTATCGTCTTTCCTTTCACAAGAGATGGTCCTCTGTTCTCTAACCTATTGGGAAAAGCATACAGCAGCCACTCTGATCAGTTAAGTCAGTAGGAGCCTTCATATTTTAAGAACATCCATGATGAGCCTCTGCTGAGCAAGAGCTATAGAAAGTGTGTGGATCATGGCTAAAATCTCTGATGCTGCAGGAGTTCCAGCAAATTATTAGCATGCAGTGTTCAAGGTATCCTTAGTCATTAAATAAAATATTCCCAAAGTAAGCAGTTTATCATTACTGTAAGTAAGTACATTGACTTTGACCTGTGTCTTCCTTTTTACTATTGGTACCTTGTTGGTGATCTAAAATTCAAGACTTATGCTTATTCAGATCTTAGAAATGTGAGATAAAATAGATCTATTTTTGAGAAACTGTATAAATGTTATAACACAATGAATGCCAGGCTTTTCTATTCTGGTTATAATTGACAACTAATTGGTAACAAAAACCAGTATTGCCAGTATGGCTCCCAAACATTTTCTTTTATGACACTTTAATGGAATGCAATGTCTGCTCGCAAACTCTCAGATGCATATGTCCATTTTAACCAAAGACTGATATTTCTCTTTCCCTGAAGAAGTAGATTTAATCGGGAAAAAATCTAAGACCTAAAGTCTGAAAGAATTAGCATCATTTTTGTAGAGATGTTTGTTCTCCTTTCCTCTCCTGTAAATTATCTCATGACCCCTCAGATTTCTCCTGTGAGCCCTTGTGTGGGCCACTGAGCTACATGATGGTGTACAAATAGGTGAATACACAAAAAAATATGAAGAAAAAAGTTTTAAATCAAACAAAGGATGAGTCTTGAACTGCTCACAACTCATAGATGCATACAATCCTGGTCTCAAGTACCCATAGTGTTGCTTTAAACATATCTTTAGCCAAAATGTTGGGTGAAAGTGAATGTTTTGCTTTCCATCCTCCAGTTTGACACAACACGTTCCAGAAGTCCTGCTTCTTCAGAGAACTTCTTAAAGAACATAACTAATAAGACCTTAAAGAATGTCCCATGTGATACTACTACTCACCATATGCAAGGAAATATGAATATCTCCTGTCTTTTCTTGTTTGCAGATGAAGTTACTGAACCTGTACATCAAGCGGGCCCAGACGACCAACAGCAATAGCAGCAGTTCCTCAGACGTCTCCTCTCACAGCTAATGGAGGGAGGTTTCATTTGGAAACCCTGTGGACGAACGGCGTTCCAGGATTTCCAGGGCATAGACACGCTTCTTTCCGACTTCACCATCTCTGAGCTTCCCCTCCTCATCAGAACTCAAGCTTTGCTGCGTTTTTCTCCTGTGTCGAGGAGATCCTCTCAGCAACCTATTTGTCGTTTAGTCCTCCTCCCTACCTTTGCTCCAGAAACTTTTGAATGTAACTGTGGGTTGGTTTTAGACTGGTGGGGAGGGACTCAACACATTTGGAGTTTTTGGATCTAGGAATGCACCTTTCTTCCTCCACAGTTCCCACAACCCCCACACCGCCTTTTGTCAATGGAAGCATGTTTCTCCTTGAGCCCACATTTGGTAGAATAAGGAGTTCATGCATGATGCCGTGAAATATTCATCATCAGATTGGAGGAAATGTTATCGTGCAAGAGAAACTTCTGACAAAAAGACCACAGCTTGGGATGAAATGTCATTTGGCTGGCCCAGTGATGGTGATGAGTCCAGAGGTTTCGGGATGAAAAACCAAATATTCTTAGAAAGCAGAAATGTTTATGGGAACAATGTGACATAAAAAAAGTACTGTATGAGCATCTTTAGATTACAGGCTGACAGAAGCCTGTACATCGATTGTATTCTTGTTTTAATTAGTTAATAAGTGACTTAATCAATTGAATGCCCCTTTCACAACTTAACATGTTGCCAAACGATTTTGTCAGCTCAGAATTGACAATCCTCATATAATTGTGCACATCTTATTTTAAGGTTCAGAAGATGACATCACAGCTGTCACAATTAAAGTTGTCTGAATTTGTCTGGAAATTCACAATCAGCAGACAGCAGAAGTTGAGCCTATGAAAGTTGCAGTATTTTCACACTGAACGTTCTGCATCAAGTTTGTGTTATGTTTTGTTCAACCATGCTCTCACATGTGGTTGCCTATAGGTTGCTAGTTTGTTGCATCTTACCTGTGCATCTAATCTGTGAGGCTGCCGCTCAGTCTGTGTGTGTGTTTGAAGAGGAAGTTCTTTATAATACTGCAGATGTTTTCCTGCTTGGAGGTGGAAGGGAGACCAGCGATCCAAGACAAGACGTTACCCGGCCTTATTCATTTAACAGACTAATGTTTGTTGACTGGGACTGCGGAGAGTGAATGAGACGTACAGCACTGAAACTCTCGGCTCTCAAAACTGTGAATCTGCAGGAAAGTGACGGCAGCGTTCTTGACCTGTGTTGATGCAAAGACAGTATTAGTTGTGTCCTCTGAGCTCCTTCAGTTCGCCTCCACATAACCACAGCTTCTGCAATAACCGTAAATCCACAATTAAAGGTATTTTGTACATATACTTTTTGACCACTGCTTCGCAAAGTTTTCACAATATCTGGAAATAAGTAAAGTGAACAGTTTGACTATCTCACTTTTTTGCACGTTAGCAAAATAGCTTGCATGTACCTGCAGCACGTGTCAACTTTGTGCTGGATTGAATGGCCCAGGTGTTTGGCTGTTAAGTGCACTTGAACCATCATCAGATTACTCATCTCCAAAGTTTCAGTACAGGAGTAGTCACATTAGCCAGGCTCATATGGAAAAGGTACAAAATGGTGCAACAGCTCCAACTTCGCAAAAACCAAAACCATGTTTGGTATATTTAAGATGGTAGAAATATCCAGGCAAGGTATCAAGAAATCACCACTCTGGTGGTTATTATTTCAGGTAACGTTTGAGGTATCAAGAAGCTTTACAAGGTTGGATTTCTGAAATGAGATGGCTCTTTGAGTTTGACGGGTTCCCAAAGTTTACCCATGGATCTCTATTTGGGAAGAGTTTTCCCATTGATCAGATTTTTATTATTTGAGATGATTTAGTTTATCATGGTACAGTTAACTTATTGTAGGAAGGGATCAGAAATGATATGCCTTTTAATTTCTGCTATCACCTTCGCTAACTTCTAGCAAATGAATCA